ATTATATTAATTGTGGAACTTATCTTCAAGCATAATTAAGGACTTCTGTCTGTAATTTCTCTAAATTTGCTAAAAGATTTAAATAATTAACTTAAGTAAACTTTTCTACTGAGCATACAAAAAAAGAAGAGCTCATTACAAACAATTACCACATACTTATTAAAATGTACTGGTTTTGAAGAAGTCAATCAGAATGAAAGCTAACACCCTCAAAAAGTGCACGGTTAACAATTTTAGAACGTTTGATGAGATTTTGTTTCAACCTTTTGAAAAAATTGATTATACAATGTATATCAGCATTAAAAATAAAAAGAAACTAGAGAAAGTTTACAGCAAATAGAGTAGGACTCAAAATCATAGTTAAATACTTAATAAAAAGTACAGTACTACTCATTTTACAAGACAATATGTGTATATAAACTTTCTAGAACAAAATTCCCTAATAAAGCAGCGATGTAGCAATTAAAAGTAGAAACATACAGTTAGTTTTTCAGTATTAATTTATTTATTTAAAATGTATTTAGAGAACAGATTCCTAAAATGAAATTCTTTAAAAAAATTACTATTTTGTGGAGTATCTCAATATATACATTAATATAAATAAGAAAATTGATACTTGAAACCGTCGGTACTTGGTGAAACTCCATAATTACAGAATTGAGGAAAAACAAGACAACTGTACGTTTCACAAATACATCATTTATTCACGACCATGGTTTCGCTTGTAAAGGCATCATCAGGTACAGACTACAAAACATTTCTATCTGTATGTGATGATGCCTTTGTGAAACATACAATTGTCTTGTTTTCCCTCAATTCTATAAATCAGAAAATTGTCGGTTTTGTTTTAGTCATCAAAGCTGATAGTTTGTAAGGAGAACCTGATGTGCTTAGACTTAAGACATTGCTCTGAGCAGTAATGGAATTATTTTAATGTATTTATAGATTGGTTAGAAAACCAGATGTATTATAATAGTATTAGGACAATCTATTCTTGTGTTTGATACATTTTTTGTGTTCAAAGATGCATATATAAAAGCTACATGAATTATGTCTGGACAACCAACATGGTGCTTAAAAAATAGGCTTACTAAAACTAAACCAAAAGGCCTCAAGGCTAAAGTGCTAAATTTCAATCTTTATGTATATTTGTAATATTCTAACTATAAAGTACCTAAAATTTAAAAATTAGAAACATTAGTTAGATAACAAAACTTCAATGAAAAAATTTAATAAAATTCCTGTGATCTCTCTCTCTCTCTCTCTCTCTCTTGTAGGAGCACACTTGGACTTCCATATCATAATGCAACCTGATAGTTTGTTTATCCTAAGCTCTCACCAAGTGATTTGTTTTGTTACACTCATTAGACATGGTTCAAAGAATAATAAAATTAAATTAAAGCAATTGTGAAAAAAAGCTAAGACATCTGAAGCTGTTAGGATAAATAATTGTAATTGTCTGTTACAATCTGAACTCTTTCTAGGTGAACAAAATGGTATTTTTAAACTTTTCAATCACTCTGATTTCACTGCAGTTAGTGTTAAGGTATAGAAAATATAAGATAAAGTTCTCCAAAAAAACTTCATAAGTTAATTTATGGAGGTTCTAGAGGTTATATAAATGAAATATAAAAACTGTAAAATGAAAAGAAGTATTTTTATTCTTAGCATGAAAAAAAAACACCTGTCACTCAGAATGACTCAGTATGAGAATGACAAATCTTCACTAAAAATACTTTATTAAAAAATCTGATTTTCTGTGTATAAATTCCTGATTATAAGTGGATTATTAAAATGATAAAAGAAAGTTCTATGAATAATTCTTAATTAAGTGGAGAAAAGTGTGTCAATTTGAACACCTGATACCTGAATGCGTCATACATGACTCACCAGAAAATGCTAAGTCAAACAGTACTGCTCTCCTTCGAATCTTAACACTGGAAATGTTCTGAAACATTCCTTCCAATACAATGAAGCCAATGCTCATTAAAAATGCTATAACTCCAATTCCTACACCAAAGTTGCAAGCATGGGTATCACCATTATATGAGCATACATCTTCTATCCAACCTTCAGCAGAGATACATCCAAAAACAATAACAGCAAAAAGCTAGAAAGAGAAAATAAAAATTTACAGGTTACATACACATACCTTCAATCACCAATTTAGATTTGTGAATTGCATGAAAGTAATTATGACAAAAAAACTGGAAAAAGTTAATAAATAGTTTTAGGTTCATTGCACTAACCTTATACAAAAAGACTGTGTACAAATCATCATCTCTTCAAAAGGAACAATTAACTGGACATGAAACTTCTATTCAATCTATGCTAAACTTAGATATTTATGGGTGAGGAATCTGAAGAATAAGCTTACAATTTCAATAATTTACTTTTCTCCCTATTATGGCTGAATTTTAACTGGACAAAATAAAATACACAATACTTTGAAAAACACTAAGAATTAAAAATACATAAAGTACCAGGACTAGATGTTTGAAATCAGTGATATTTGCTGTTCAATTAACTGATAACCCCGTTAATTGATTATTGTTGTATTCCTAAGACCATGGTACTTCAAAACAGGGAAAGTTAAATATTATAATACAAAAAAAAGAGGTTGAGGCACATGCTGCCAACCAGTTGCCTTCACTTTAATCAACAATTCAAAATTAGCAACAGTGGAAAACAGCCTTAGCAGCTTGCTATAACAAAGACAGAGAAATCAAGTTTGGTGGCAATATTTCAATTACTTACATTGTCAAAATAATTGAAAATACTGATAAAACTAATAATCATAAATAATAATTTTGATTAGTTGATTATTTTCACGACAATCAATACAATCAGAATTTTGATTGATTGATTGTTAGAATAATCCAAAACTAATGACTGTAAGCACTAATTTTAATCAATCAATTTAATCATAATTTTGATCAATCAATTAGATTAAGTGACACTAATCGATGTAACTGCTGCTCATATTTCTAACCAGGACCAGACATGGTTTCCCCAAATTTGTGAGCCTCTTTTTTATTTTGATAGATCAACAAATGAGGATCAGTGTTGCTAATGTTACTTCTATTTTTAAAGGAGATGAGATTTTCCCAGTTATTCTTACTTCTGTCATGGAAAGAATTCTAGTCTGATAAAAGAAGCTTTGCTAAATCATTTAGTGAAATATAATGTCATATATGAAAGCCAGTATGAATTTGCTAAAGGGAAATCTTGTCTTACTAATTTGAAACTTTTGTTGAGGATGTTACTTATCTGGTTGATGGAAATAGTGCACACTTGATGTACTTAGATTTTCAGAGCCTTTGATAAGATGCCATACAGAAAATTAGCTAAGAAAATAACAAAGTACGAGTTGAGGAGATTATTTACATAACACAACATAACATTTATGAACAAGAAGGGGGCCTGTTAGTCAATCCACTAAATCAAGATTTTAAAAGATAATAAATATCAATAAAAACACCCTAAAAGCCTAAAAACATCCTAAATATTTATCAAACCTTCTCTTAAACTCCTTGAATTTACTGCATCCACCACATCTGAAAGCAACACTAGTTCAACTACCCTATTAGAAAAATAAACTATGTTAGCTGAAAATGACTACTAGCCAAACAAAATTTGTATTTATGTCCTCATCTTACCATTCTCAACTTTAAGTACGAAAAAATATTATGTATTGACACTATTAATTCCCTTAACAATCTTAAATGCTCAATGAGACTCCTTCCAACTCTTATCTAGTTTTATCGATTTTCTTATGATAACCTATCTATCCCAAGTATCATCCCAGTAGCCTTTCAACCTTTCCAACAATGCAATGTCCTTCCTAAGATAAAATGAAAACTAAACACAATACTCCAAATAAGTCCTAACCAGTGACCTATACGATGAAATTATAACTTCTTCAAATGTATATTCAACACTTCTGTAAGCACAACCTAAATCATATTTGCCTTACCACTAGCAAAAACACACTATTTGGATGGCTTTAGACTCATCAGCCAAAATGCAAGTATCCTTTTCTTCCATAACATAACTGCAGTGTGGATGAATTGGAGAAAGCAAATGATTATTATTAATGGAGTCCAGTCAAATTAGCCTCCAATTTCTCCTTCAGCCTACAAACTCTATAGAAAAATTGCATATCTTCATTATTAGTTTCCTTAAAAGTGCATATCAGTTCCAAGTAAAACTCACTCTTTGCACCCATCAACACCCCACAAACTGTGAACCCTTCATACCTAAATTACTTTTTAACCATTTCAGTCTGGGAATAAATAATCAGCACTAAGTACAATAGAGACTTGGGCAGTGGCCCTTAGTGTGAAAAGGCAAATTGAAGATGTGAACTGCTATCTCAAATTGGGCAGTTCTTGATCATAGATATTCTGTACTTATTGGAAAATCATATCTAATCTGGTTAATTGTTTATACTTAGAAGATTAATAATTAATTACATTATTATTTTCAAAAAGTGGGAATGCTTGCTCTCAACTGTTGATTGTTTTCTTTATTTTAGTCAAGTTTGTTTAAAGAATACATATACTTCTTTCATTATGTGCTATGAAAACGATCTTGAAGTGTTGTGTGCCAGTGGAATGTCATTAGAGATCAGTACATGTTCTGCTACTTGTGTGAGGTTTGCCCTTGTGAAGTGTTGTTGTTCATTATTTCAAACCAGCACTGAATAACCAACACTTCAAGATCCTTCTCAAAATACAGAATGAGAAAATCTATGCACTCTTGAACTTTTGCTAAAACTGTAAATGAACATTTTGTGATTATTTTTCATGCTGAAAAATATTTTGAGAGATCTAGGAATGGTAGGTTTCTCCAAATCATTCAAACCTACCTTGATTTGTCACAGAAGGTAAGATCTGGACTTGCTCTTTTGTAGAATTATCTGTTAGTGAACTGTTGAAATGCTTTTCTTCATGTTGTAGTATATTCTGCTTATATGGATTTGTTCAGTAAACATACTGATGCAAGAGCCTACATTTAAGTTGAACCGGTTGTTATTTAGCAAGATAATTTAAAATATTAAAATAACTTGTATGAAATAGCAGGGGTGGGTACAATTTCTTGCAGCAAGTAGATGAGGGCCCCTGATAAATTTAAATGCCCTCTAATTAGTGATTCTTATGGTATTAATAACAGCTTCCAATTTTAAACAAACCCATAACCAAATGTTCAAATTTTAACATATCACACCATAAATAATATTTCAATCACTACCTTGCATTATATACAATAAAATATCAGATTTGTGATTTACAACTTCCCAAAATTGTACAAGATTATTTTAACTGATAAAAGTGACATTCTGACATAAATTTTCACTGTATGTCATTTTTTATACTTAATTTGAATAACACTACAGCTGATGAAGTGAAAGAAATGGTGGGACTAATAATTATATTTAATTCACTGATTCAGTGATTGGCGAATTCGTGGTTTCCAAATACAACACAAGAACCAGTGCCACTAGTAGTAGCAATGCAGTGATATACCTGACCTATTATTTTGGAAACTTAAAGTTGAAGTACTACTACTACTAGCTAGTAGTAGTATAATTACTAGGAAATTAATGCTACCAGTATAGGCATATTGTAATAATAATAATAACTGATCACACAAGTTATCTTATTATTATAAGTTGTATTAACTTTCAATAATTAATATTACGATTAGTGTACTACTACTAGAAAGTAGTATTAATTTTGTAACGTTACGTTAAGCCTGACTGACAAAGATAAGTTTTAAATTTTTAGTTGCCATTTAATTTTACAACTCTTTAGTGTACACTTTCAAGATAGCAAAAGTTTCATACCCAACATAGTATTCTTAGAATAACTTGAGGTTTCTGAATAAAAGTTACAGGGTCAAATTGACTTCCAGCTAATCCGGCACCATACGCAGCAGAATTCATATTGGATTTTTAATGCATTGTGGGATCTAAAACGTCAGTATAACGTCATCAGATGTTTTGTGAACATAGTGTTCGCAAACTCTTAGTAGTCAACGGTTCAAACTAGAAAACATCTTATAAACAATTCACAAATATTAACTGACAGACCAACAAATACAATATGCCTGATTCTTAAACTTCTGTGCTTTCACTTTTTCCGATACTTACGAGGATAATTAAACCACCTTATTTTTTACCTCAAAAACTAATTCGACTAACACTAACAGGGCCAAAACATGCGTTACCTCTTAAATGTTTTTGGCACAATTATCAAGAGCGTCAACTTGTATTTTTCATTTTCTTATCCTTATTGTCCTCAATCAAATATTATCTTAAGACACATGGCTAATTGGCTTAAGACTAATGTTGGAAAATAATATAAAAGCATCTTAAATTGTTATCGAGGAGTCAAGAAAATTACGTTAATGCATTTCAAGTTAATAACTTTATGTAAACATCCAAAAAATTATTTTATTTTATTTTTTAGAGTAAGGTTAGTTTGTTTTGTTTTTCGCGTCAAAGTCTACGCGAGGG